GTACTTTGGGACATCTTGCATTATTCCCTACTGCATCGTACACAACATCAATATTCCACTTGTACAGGATCTTTTCCTGTTTGTGTGGATACAGATTGTCCGACAGACTTGCGTCTGGCATACTTGCATCGAATCCCGACATCACAATCAAAGTCCGATCGCACGTGTCGAAAACCTTGTACTTGAATAGTTTCTTTTGGAACGTAAAAACTCATATTTTGTCATATCCCAACAATGCGACCCTGAGTAAGAGCAGTAGAAGTAACAGCTTTAGCAGCGATTGCCACTTTCTTGTTATTCTTCGACTTTTCATTGTCAGTTTTGATGCAAAAAGGAGGAGCTAGTTTCGTTTCGCTACAGAAAAATCGTGTAGGCAAAGCACAAAAAGTGATGTTTTGAAGACCCGGATATGCGTGTTGGTTTTTTTCCATCACAACTCGCATCATCACAACTTTCTAGATTTCCTTTTACGAATGTCTATCAACTTTCCTTTACATTTATCATCTTCCTAGTAAGTCTATTGCTTCATGTCGTATTTTACATTTCCATTCACAAAAATCATCATTAACTTTCGGATTGATGTGACTTGATAGTAAATCATCCACATGAAATCAAATAGTTTGTTGCTTGCCATTCACAATCTTGTTTGCAATGCATCCATCGTATGGATTGAAAATAAAACCATGTTTCTCCATGTCTCCTCTCAATTTTTTGTATCAAAGCATAGAGGCTTCTAACATCCCATAGATGGCTCGTAACACCCTCACATAAATCACTTGTTTTCCGTTCTCAATTACAACTGAATTGAATCCCCGGTGTTGAGTTGACTCGATGGACTAGAATGAATGGCTATCGCCAACCAATAGCTTATAATTTTGATTATCTCCCTTTTGCAACACTGTAACTAGTCAAACCCCTTTATCGCTCTGTTATTGTTCAATAACGGGCACATTAACTCAGTTTGTCAGACCCACCGCTGCTGTACTGCTTGATAGCAACACCAGCTGACCTGCCTACAATGGCAAATGTCCAAGTCTGTGGGAGACTTTAAAAGACCTGTTGACCGACATGTCAATGTCAGGATACCTATTGCTGAATTACACCTTGTTATGATTGACTATCATACAATAGGTGCGCAAAGGATACATTTCATTCTATGAAGTGTAAGATCAGACAATATCCAACCTTGAGGGGACGCTTTCAAACGTTGGAGGGAGAGCCGAAGCGCCTGGATCCGAAGATCCGGCACTACGCGTCAATATGCAGCTTGTTTGGAGGGAGAAAGATCTGCGATTTATTTATATATATCAGCGATCTCAATCCGCCAAAATGCCCACAGGACCGTTTAAAATAAATCCGTTATTACACTCCGACTCGCGCGCAAGCCGAACAAACGTTCATATCATTCGCCAAAACCCACACAAAATTCATCTGTGGTGACAGAAAATTCATTTTCAACACGAAACTCAACAACAACCGTTCCAACCCGCATATCCGATTCAACCATGGCCGAACCAGCAATCCTGCGCCAACTCTTTGTCCGAATCGGCCTGACTCAAGCTGTTGCCGACACTATTGTGGACGATCACAATATCAACAGTACCGCAACTCTGACCAAGATCAAGCCTGACACTGTCAGCAAACTTGTCAAGACCCTTCGACACCCAGGAGGCGGTGGGAATGGCCACGCGATCCCGTTCCAAGTGCAGCAAGACATCACTGATGTCGCATGGCTCCTAAAACACCGTGTCCGCACCTCTTGCGATCCAGCTATTCCGACCATTGGCCTCCCTGTCCTAACTGACAAACTTGAGATCTATAGAGATCATGAAGAGCAATGGACCGAACCAAGCTTCCTTGATATCGAAATCACCCGCAACGACTGGAACAAAACGTTCCGTACCATTGAAGAATCCCTTACAAACTTCAAAGGAGTCCACGGTTGCCCTCTGAGCTATACTATTTGTGTCGCAACTGCCATCCCAGCTGATCCGGATCCATCAACCGATTATGCATCAATTGAGGACAAAATTATTGCCCGCGCTCCTATTGTCAACGCCCAAGGAGGCTTTGTTGCTACATTTTGCACTGACAATACCACCCTCTGGAAACTTTTGAGTGTGCTATTCAAAGACACTGTTGACTGGACTGACATCAAGCATTGTGCCAGAACAAAGGACGGAAGAACTGCATTTCTTGACCTAAAATCCGCACGGCTTGTGGCCCAATACACCAACAATGTCTCCGCCGAAATTGAGAGACGCTGGTTAGCTTTATCCTACGCAGGACCAAAACGCAACTGGAAGTTTGACGATTACGCCCGCAACCACAAGGAATGCTTCCTCCTCCTTGCCGAGCTTGATGACTACCAAGAACCTGACGAGCAAACCAGAGTCCGCAAGCTTATTGATCAGATTGTCACTCGAGAGCTCGACACAGCTATTAACATGATCATCGCTTCCCCAACCATGGGGACCAGCTTTGATGAATCGGTCGCTCACATCAAAGGGTTCATTGACAACAGAGAAGATACCCTCGTCCTGGGCAAACGATCACGTGACGGAAGACACATTGCCTCGGTCAACACCAGGCATAGACCCCCAAACGAATGGCATGCAATGCCTAAAGACGAACGGAACGCAATCATGGAAGAACGCAAACAAAAGAAGCGCAAACTTGAAAATGGCAACAAGAAAGACAAGACAACTCCCAAGGATTCTGGAGCAGGCAAGAAAACTGACAAGAAAAATGGCCGAACTACTTTCAAAGAATTGAAACGCCGTATTGCCGAGCTTGAATCCAAGGAGTCTGCCCAAACACAGGATGGCAATGACAACGATGACCGGACTGGAGGCAACGCTTCTGGCAATGCTGCCAACGGAAACCGCACCAACCCTGCGCTAAACCGTGGCCAACCAGGTGATAACAACTGAAGCCAGCCCCGAATTGTCCAGCTTCGCACCATCAGCGCCATCCGGACTATTGCAATTACCCAGACCAGCCCGCTTGCAGAAGAGACCACGCTAGAACTGGACTCCCACGCTGACACCACTTGTGTTGGATCCCAAGCGATGATCGTCTCGCGCTCTGGAAAGGTTGTGGATGTCTGTGGCTATGGTCCTTCCACCACTAGCCGCCAACTTGAGGTTGTTACTGCTGCTATTGTATACAATCGACCAACCACCGGTGAAACCATCATCCTCGTCCTCCATCAAGCCATCCATGTCCCAAATATGGACCACCATCTTTTGAGCACAATGCAATCATGGAAGAACGATGTTACCAATAATGACCGCCCAAAATTCCTTACTGCCTGCCCCAATGACAACAACCACTGCATCCTTGCCCCATCTGACGATCCCAACGATATTACCCGCCTCCCGCTACGCATCCACGGCACCATTTCCTATCTCAATGTCCGCAAGCCCACCGCCGCCAAATACGCCAACTGCAAACATGTCTCCCTCACCGCCGACGCACCAGACTGGGACCCCCGCACCACCAAATACCAAGTTGTTGAAGACTCTCTGGTCAACAATGCCGGAAGACTGCTGGAGAGAGGGGACCTGAAAGACCAACCCTTCATTTCACCGCTCTATTCTGAACTTTCCACCAATCCACCAATAATCCACGCATCATCTACAAAACCGTTTCCCAAGAACATGCTATCCTACACGAAATTGATCCCAGATTGAACAACCATCACTTCTCACAACAACTGAGTGACATGGTTCAAATCTCTTCTGTTCGGTCAGCATACAAAGGCCCTGCAGTTGACGCGATCAAGCTAGCACGCAACTGGGGGATTGGGATCAAAGCACCCACAAAGACAATCCAAGCAACTACCCAACGAGGAGCTAGGACTATACTGCACCCATCCCTGACCAGGAGACAACCAACAAACGACCGCTTCATCCGACTCCGACAATTGAATCACAACCTATATGGCGATCTGATGAAAGCCGATGTGAAGTCCAAGAGAATGAATGAATACGCACATATTTTTGGTGCAGACAATGGCTGGTGCCGGGCCCATCCACTTCGAACAAAAGGACAAG